ATAATACAGACAAGCAAAAACCGTCATGTGGCACCTGCAGACACACAAGTCTCACCTGGTTGACGTTGTTGCTGGACAAGGGGCGGAGACCCGGCCGGTTGGTGGCCAGGCTATCCCTCACCGCCGGCACTCGCTTCTCTCCCCCTGCATCCAGCTCTCCGCCAGGCGGCGCCACCACGGCGGGTGTCTTAGCCTCCTTCAGCTCCCAGTTGCTGTCGGCGGACGTGATCGAACCCGTACCCTCCGCGTCAGTCTTTGAGCCTCGCCGGCTGAACGGGCTGGACACCAGCTTGCTGAAAGAACCGGATCGCCGGAGCGAGGATTTCCCGGCCGACTCGGACCCGGACTCGTCCCCGGTGGTCGCGTACTTCCGGGACGAGCTGCTCGACTTGTTCCGGTTCAGCAGCAGGTCTCGGTAGTCCTTGAGCTTGGCTTTGAGCGAGGCGAAACTCTCGGAACCGCCCGAGGAGGATTTCTCCGAGGACTTCCCGGACCCGGACCCGGATTTGCCCGAGGCCGTGCGGTGGCTCGCGTCTGACAAGATCTCCGAGTTGGAGCGGCCGGACAGGAGAGCCAAACCCTGCTGGTCGTAGCTCTGGCTCCTCGACCTGTGCCACGGCTTCTTCAGTCTCAGCGAGGAACTTCGAGAGAAAATCGGGACGGAATTGGAGTTGGGCATGCTGCCAGTAGAGGCGGCAGCGACAGTTTGATTGGACGATGGATCTGGGACGAGGTTCGTGGGGGCGGGGCTTAGGTCGAGGGAGGAGCTACGGTAGATGCGCAGAGAGCCGGTGCGCACAAAGTTCTGGTCACTGTCGTAGCGCGAGAGTTCCGGCGCGAAGTTGGGTAGCGACTGTAACAGACTGTGTAGCTTCTCAGAGACCGCGGCAGGGGAATCCCCGGTCAGCTCGTCAACAGAACCGTTTGAACCGGCGGCAGAACCGGCGACAGAACTGGCCGGGTGAGGCGATGTGGTAGTGGGGGAGGGTGGAGAATCACCGACACCGCTCTCCGCTTTCTTGTCAAACGATTTACTCTTGGCGCTGTTCGCGAGCGACTCCACAGCGGAACGTACGGAAGGGATATCCAGCGAGGAGGATCGTTTGTGGTGGCGATAGGAAGGCTTGTGTGTGGCGGCAGACGCCGAGACAGGACTTGTCTGTGAGGGGCTGGCGTCTCGGGCTGTCGTTCCCTGTGCCCCTTGTCCCACACACGCGCTGGGAATGTCTTCAGTGGACGGTGAGGCAGCGGCGGAGCTGGGAGGGGGCGGGATGATCAACCTGGACAGCTCCTCGTCCACAAACTGTCTGGACACGTCACTCACAGAGCCGCCGGACGACGTGACGTCACGGCTGGAGGAGACGTCCAGTTGGTCTCCGGATGTGAGGGAGGACGGGAAGGCACCGCTGAAGCTCTGGGAGAAGCCGTGTGTGGTGGGCGTTGTGTGGGTGTCCGCGCCCCCGCCGTTGTAGTGGGCGGGGCTGTGCGAGGACGGGGGTGGGGGAGGGATGGTGAACTGGGCGATGAGAGCGTCTATGTCTTCGTCCAGAAAATCTGGGCACTGACCGGTGCTGGCTGAGCGCTCCAGGCGGGCCGGGGTGACTGATGGTCGGACTGTGGGGGTGGTCATCATTGTCAGGGGGTCTGTGGGGAC